TAAAATTTATGCTTAGGCCAGACCAGACTGGCCTTGCACTCACAGAGATTTATCTGCCTCCCGAGTATTAGTTAATTTTCTGTTGCTGGGACAGAGCACCATAAGCAAGGTGATTTAGAAAAGAAAGTGTTTAATTGGCTTCCAGTTTCAGAGCGTTAGCCCACAATGGAGGGGCAAAGGCATGGCGGCAGCAACAGCTGAGAGCTCATAGCTTGATCCACAAGGAGGAGGAGGAGGAGGAGGAGAGAGCGCTGGGGATTGTGCCAGTCTTCTGAGACCTAAAGACCAGCCTCCCCAGTGACTCACCTCCTCCAGCTGGTCCATGCCTCCTAATCTCTCCCTGACAGCTTCACCAACTGGGGACCAAGCATTCAAACATATGAGCCTGTGGGGCAGCTCTCATGTACACCACCACATGGGAATATAGGCATGTGTCATCCATCTCCCTGGCCTTTGCCCTTCTAGTAACAGTTCAAAAATTGTTTTTATTTTATGTTTGAGCGTTTTGCCCACATGTATGTATATGTGTGTATCATGTGCATGCCTGGTGTCCACAAAGACCAGAAGAGGGAGTTGGACTCCTGGAACTAGAGTTATGGGCAGTTGTAACCTACATGTGCTGGGAACTTAACCCAGGTCCTTTGCTTTACCTCTGAAGTGCTTAGGTTCCAGGTATGCTAGTGCTGGAGAGTGAGCTCGGGGTTTCTTACACGCTTTGCACGCACTCTACCAACTGATCTGTCCCCACCCCCAGGATAATTATCAGTGAGCAGTCATCAGACCTTTACCAGATGCTTGCCATTATGGCCATATTATGTTTTACTTGGTGGAATGAGTACTTTATGCCCACAGAGTGTTGCCACATCCATAATTTCATTTGAATACCATGACCAGCCATGGGTAGTCAGTACTGACTTCACTTCACCCTGAGGCCTCTTGTTGGCCTGGGGGACATTTATGATAGTCTGACTTGGCTTTTAAGATGTTTGGTTGGGGGGCTGGAGAGATGACTCAGTGGTTAAGAGCATTGCCTGCTCTTCCAAAGGTCCTGAGTTCAATTCCCAGCAACCACATGGTGTCTCATAACCATCTGTAATGGGGTTTGGTGCCCTCTTCTGGCCTGAAGGCAGACACATAGAAAGAATATTGTATACATAATAAATAAATA